TTACTTGGCTATTAATAACTATTAGAAACTATTATTCCCACTTCTGAGGCATTCGTGTTTCAGGAGGGGGGATTAACTTCGGTTACAGTTGAAAACGAGCGTGTTGGTTAATAGATACAAACTTGAAAGTATAAAACAGAGAGGACGAGGACGGGAACAGGACATCTTTCATTTAGCAACAACATAGAATGGCACAACGATAAAACCGCCCCCCAAGGGTCTCAACGTTCTAAAAGAGGGAAAGGAGATACTAGTTATAAAGGAAGGGGAATACACTAAAAGAAAAGTTTGAAAAGCGCATCAGTGATCTAGTTATTTTCGATTACTTAGAATTAACCTTGGTCATTGTCAGTGATAATGCGGAATTATTCTTGTTTGCAGTCCAAAAAGGGAATTGTACTATAAATATAAAAGTTTAAAAAGCTGTAGCGTGACGACGAGGTGTCAATATTCTAGTCATCTCTGGTGTTAGGAATTCGACCTCTGTCTTTGTCAATGATAGTGACGGTGCAGAAATTTGTTTGCAGTCCTTTTTGGACTGCAAACAAGAATAATTCCGCATTATCACTGACAATGACCAAGGTTAATTCTAAGTAATCGAAAATAACTAGATCACTGATGCGCTTTTCAAACTTTTCTTTTAGTGTATTCCCCTTCCTTTATAACTAGTATCTCCTTTCCCTCTTTTAGAACGTTGAGACCCTTGGGGGGCGGTTTTATCGTTGTGCCATTCTATGTTGTTGCTAAATGAAAGATGTCCTGTTCCCGTCCTCGTCCTCTCTGTTTTATACTTTCAAGTTTGTATCGATTAACTTCGATTGGGTATTATTGGCTACTGGAATATGTTCTTGGTCAGATTGACTTGAAATGGCTATACATGACTCTCAGTCGCTATTATTGACATTTTATGCAATAGAACCTTTGAACAAATCCCCAAAGCCCGCGGGCGCGCGCGATGAATAATGGGAGTTTTCGGTACGTCTCACCAATCGTCTTTCCTCCCGCTATCACGTGGTATACGCGAGCAGGCGCGGATTACCATGCCAAGAACGTTCGAGCGGCCGAGAGCCGAGTCGGATGAGCGCACGAAAATGGGAGAGAGGGTACGGCGTTGGCTATTTTGCGAGGCTGCCCCTATCTCAGTTCTCTCCTTTGTACCGCCTCTGTCGTCTGGTGAACCAACGCTTTGTCGAACCTGGTCGAAACCTTCCACGTTGCGGTGAAAAGTAAGTGAGTTAAGTGACACTGCCAGACGTGAAGGTAAGTTACGACGAACAACGTAATCAAAGAAGTCAATAGCTTCATCCGTCGCGATGCTTTTACGCTGCCACTGCGGCTCCAACGACGTACGACGTCCCGGCGGATGTGCGAAATCAGCGTTGCCACAGTGTGGAAAAAAATATCTGGTGAATTTTCGTTAAAAAATCTGTACATTTTTGTAAATATATGTAGATAGAAGTAATTACACTCTTTCTAAAGTTTACGTCTATTCGCAGCTGACTTTGTGTCGGCTTACCACTTGTTATATTCGCTAGGTGTCGCAAGCTACGGATAAATTTTTTGATCTCAGATTTGGCCGCAGTTCGATCTGATTTTGCGTGTTTTTTTTTCTTGTAGTCACGTTTGTGGTGCACTGCGCTCCTTCGCAGGCTTAGCTTTTTCTTACCTAGTTGGGATTCCCACACGTTGCTATTCTATGTAGCAGTACCGAATGAGAAGCAACCGGATAGCAGCTCTTCAACGCTACTAAAGAAGTAACGTTATGAGCAAACATATAACGTCGAGTGGGCCAAAGAAGAAAGGACAAGACGACGGCTCTCTTCTAGCAATAAGGGCTCCACCTTTGCAAAGAAAACTGTTGTTTGTATGTTTACGCAGCCGGAAGTTAGTCTGCCTCAGTGGGCGTCTGGTGTCTCAGCTGTAGAGGACCAATTTAGCCAGTGCGGTACAACCGCTACCCTGGGGTCTTTGACATGCACCATGCAGTAGTGATACACGACCGCACACCTTTGCCTATTGCAAAGTGTGCAACATGCACCTGTCGGTGAGAGTAGGAAAGTTAAACCTTGGCCGCCGCATGACCACGGTGAAATCAGTGTTGCACGCGTTCCTCAAAGAAAAGAACGAAAGGTTGTTTCTCGTTCCTTCAGATATTTGGAACGCGTTCCCGTTACAAGCTTCATATGTAAAAATAAAACTCGTTCCCGTTACAGGTAAAAAAAGAGAACCTACCGTTACATATACGTTACATTTGTATTTCTCTGATTACCATATTTAGTTAGATCGAAAAAAAGTTTTAATTTTTTTTGTTTTTGTCGATTTCATCAAATGGGAACATACGAATTTGAATGTCGCGATGGAAGAGCACCAGGAGACGAAAATGAGCGGTAGCAGGGTTTCATTTATTTATATATTCACCTTTAAAAATCTCAGCTTGTAACCATATTCATGTTTCTGGTGTGCGACTCAAACGAGCCAAATGTACTGCTACTCCACATTTCATGAGCGTTTTACAAAAACCTCACACGTTTCAATCTAACAGAGTCTCTTGTTCGAACTTAACAGCAGGTGCTTCTTGACGTTGCTGTGCGAAAGACGAGCAAGTGAAGAAGAGGGTGAGGCTTTTTGAAGGTCAGTCTTGAGCACTACAAGTCCTTCTTCATAAGGGTCGGATTCGTTCTTCAGTTTGAAGGTAGGGCACAAGGGGAGAAGAAATAAAGGTTAATTTTTGTGTATGTTGTAAGAGATCAATGTTCGGGATACAAGGGTGTATTCGATGTCTGGTAACCTGGCCTTTCGTTGCAACTATAGGTCTCGTTGTGGAAGTTCAGTGATGGCTGTAGTCGGCCTTAGATCTCCTGGTGTATGAAGATCCGTGGAAGCCAAGAAAGTAGCTGAAATCGAAACGTTCCTCTTTCTGTGTCTTTTCCTTCGACTGAAAGTTTTGCTTTCAATAGCGCAGCCTCAGGCACTGAAAAAAGAATCGATGTCCTCTAGTTCTCCAGCACCCGACCGTTACTAAGCGAGCGCCACAAAAATAAACCCTCAGATAAGTAACCAAAATGTTGCCGAACTCCTGCTCTTCGTAAAGATGTTGTTATTGTACTTTTCGAATCTCTCTTTTAGAAATAAAATAAAAATGACCCAACTGGACAAAAAAAAAAAAAAAAAAAAAAAAAAAAAGAACGCTGTCTTTTTTTACGTTCCAGTAAAAATGTAACAAGTTTCCGTTCCAATTCCATCGATGCTAAATAAAACAGCGGCGTTCCTTCGGTCCTCCTAAAAGGAACGCGTTCCAGGGGCGCCGTTCCGTGCAACACTTCATGTTACAGGGTGCCGTCTTTCGATCGCTCCGGCCAATGGGCATTTTTGGGTTGGTTGTAAAAAATTTATTAGGAATGTTCCCTTCAAAACTACCGTCCACCTCTGTGCTGTCAGTTAGCTTTTTCCTGACCACCCCATAGCCTTCGTGCGCTTTTTAATAATAATGAAATTGTGAAGTATGTTTATGTGCACGCACCATTTATGGCAACCGCGTTAGCGTCGATTTGGCCCTATTTCTCGCTTTACAACTTCAAATCCACACAAGTATTGCATTATGTTTTTGCAGATTCTGTCAGTGCTGTTAAGGGCTAGGAACGGACAGGCCGGAGACCAGGTTTGGGCTATATGGTGAAGATGTTTTAATGGGACATGAGATGATTGTAGCGTCCGGTAGTAAGTCCCATTCCGCTTCCGCGCGGTTGATTGATTAAAATGTTTATTATGTGAACCATACCCTGGCCTATTGGCCTCATGTGGCACGGGGGAGGGGAAAGAGGGGTTTAGCGATGACGATAGGTTAGATGTACCGTCCAGTCCCGGAGGACCGGAGGTAGGAGATGATTGATGAAAATACTAGTGTTCGGTAAGCAGGTGCTGACGTCTTCGGGTGGGTCTATTCCCGTAGGGTCGTCGGTCCTCCGCCCCTGTCCGCGTGTCCCCCCTTTATAGTCGCGGTGACGTGCCGGTGTTACGTCACCGGCGAAATCCTGGTGAGATGGGTGGTGGCTGCTGGCTTCGATGAAGATGAGGTACAACAGCCACTCTCATTGGCCCGGAGGTTTATTTCATCGCAGCAACAGCTTCTCTTGATGTTGGAGAAAGAGGAAAACGAAGACTTGTTGATGTTGGTTACTTCAGCTGATGTTCGAGAGCCTTGGTTCGGGGTCTTCGAGTGGGTCTCTGCCGAGCGATGGTGTTGCGGACTGTCCCTGTAAGTGTGCCGCAGAGCAGGAGGCCGCGCCGAGGTTTGGAACGTTACAGTAGATATTAGGGACGTTATTTCGGAGAATTTAAACTATATACAGGGCCACACACTGGCAAAGTTTGGAGACCTTAGCTTTTATAGATACGGCTAGGAAAAAAATCTTTAACCCAGAGCGTTATTGCGCAATGTGCCGTATTTGCGATTTTGTTTCTCGAAATAGCGACCCTAATTGTCGGTGATTAACACTTCTTGTCAATGGTTCCTATGCCTAATTTGTCAGGAAATATTTCTAAACCCGCAGCCAAAAGTTTTTCTTTTCTTTTTTTTTTTTTTGGGGGGGGGGGGGGGGGGGCGGGGGGGGGGGGGGCTCGGAATGCCACTCGGAATGCCAACATCGCCGGATACGAAAAACGCGCACGTGACTGTGGGGGTGCTTCCAAATTGTTTCCAAAAAGACATTTTTTTCTCTAAAACAAGGGTTGGTTTTATTTTTCTAGGCATGGAGCGAGCAAAATATTTTTTTTTTGTCGTCAAAATTAAAAATGGTCACCGGACATGGTTGTTCGATCTTAACTGAAAACGCCCATTATCATTTGAGTGTCCCTCTAAGCGAGAAGCGGTCTCCAGCGACCCATCTCTCGATATCGGAGTCACGTGAGTCATATAACGCTGTCTTTTAGATAAGGAAGAATGTCCCGTCTAATCGGGGCTTTGTCTTTGTCTTTTCGCGGTCACCCCCGCACTCTGGAGGAAAGAAAAAAGAATCGCCGACGGATACATTTTAACCACGGTTGTTCGGCGACGTCTCGCGCTTTCGAGCTCGCTGCAGCACGACTTGAGTGGTAACAGCGTTCAGTGTCTCTGTGCTGGGACCAGCGGTTGCTCTCGAAAATATGGGACAGGCGAGGTCTCGGTTCCTGAGCGTTTCGGTGCAGAGTTGCCGGCATTTCACGAGATTGGAGTCAACCTGCCGAGAGATCGGTATCCTGGGAGCCCCTCTGCGTTCTGGTCAGGTGAGGAAACCTTCGCTCAGAGTCCTTCTGGGGCAGATCCCTTTGGGAACCGTGTGTTACTACCGCGCCTGGCACGCGTCTCGGACTGGTGTGTTTAGCGTCCCGTTCCGCCCGTGCTTCGAAACCACCGCTGTTCTGACACCGCCAAGGGTCGGGACCGGCGACAGCATAACGCTTCTATGACATCATCAGTCGGATATCGAGGGACCGCCTTGTTAGAACGATTTTAAACCCACCAATCGCAGGCGCATTCCAGTGATACGAAAAGAGGCCCTCTGCCGCTAGCGCTATGTAGCGAGAAATGATGTACAATACCGGGGAAAAAAATGTCAATAACTAAAAGCCGACGCATCGCCTTGGAAGCTGAGAGTAAAGGCGAGATCGCCATATAAGTTGCGCGTCATCCCGCCGCAATAAAATTGATGGCGTCTGCAGAGCAGTCTTGTACACTTTACTCGAAAAAAGTAATCGATTACAGGTACTCTTTATTAAAAAAGTATTCAATTAGATTACTCGTTTACTTGAGGCGAAATATATTCGGCCATTGTTCGAATTTTCGGAACGACAGATTTTCTGCCGGTTTTGAAAAACTTGCCTTTCGTGGTGTCTATTATTGGATTTAAATCGGAAATTATAAGATACATATATTCTTAATTCATCAATTTTCTTAAACCCGTCCTTCTCTCGGAGACTTGTTTCTAGAAATTAATGGTTGGAAACTTAAGCGGAGCGCAAGATCGTCTGCTTCTTTTTCAGGGGTTGTTGTGACGTCAGAACGCCGAGCTCTGACTGGTTCTGAATAAAGAATAGTGGGTAGAGCTCAAAGCGTGCTGCCTTCAGGTCTACCCACTATCTTTCATTCAGAACCAATCCGAGCTCGGCGTCTTTCTGACGTCACCTCAACTCCTGCAAAAGAAACAGACGACCTTGAGCTCTTCACAGAAACAAAGTCCGCCATTAGAATGGGGAGGGAAGGGAGCAGTAACGGCTATAAGTAATTTTACTACTTCCAAAAGTAATCAAATTACTCTTGAGATTTCTTCCTAACAAATGCATTCGAATGATCACAAAATTACTAAAAAAGTAATTGAGTACCAGTAATTTGACTACTTGTAGTAAGTACCGTACAAGTGTGCTGCAGAGTAAAGGCCGGCAGCGAAGCGCTCAGTTAGCGCTTCATGATCGCTGCAAGCAGCGCTTATGTGGCAGCGACTTGCGCGTGACGTAGCGCTCGGTTCGCTACAGTAGGCGCTCAGTTAGCGCTTCAGAAGCGCTTCAGTAGGCGCTCGGTTAGCGCCTCAGCAGCGCAGAGTAAGCGCTCTCACACTCCTTGCGCGATGCTTGCTGCTACGGAACAGCGCGTGCACGGCGATTCCTTTGGTGTTGTTTTTCCTTTGGCATTCAAAGAAGAGGAAGTAAAAGAGCCACTCTCCAAGCAAAGGGTCGGGCAGACGGTTCAAATTTATGGACTCTGAGCGACTAATTGATTGGGTACGACCTCATCGCTTTCTATTCCATATGCGTGACCCTGGCTTCAAAGTCAAGGAGTTATAAAATAATCACCTTCGAAAGAGCTCTGTGTCTCGGTCCCTCAGCCGGGAAACAAGGTTCGCCCAATACTGGTCGGTATCTTGGTGGCGAAAGATTTCGCGCACCCAGAAGGCTCTTCTGGGCGTTAAGTCGTCCACACACATGTGCAGTAATTGCGTGTGTAAAAGCACTTGTCGCGTTTTTATTTCAGCGTCCCACATGTCCGCCACGGTACTGTTGATGCACACCCAACCACAAGAACCGGAACCGCAGTGCACGTGCTAATTCGCGACAATAACCGCCTTACAAGAAGCGCTAACAAGGCGCTACTCAAGCGCTAACAAGGCGCTACTGAAGCGCTAACAAGGCGCCCAAAAATTGGGTTGTGTGTATGTTTCTACAGCCTATAGAACTTGCTCTGTCTCAATGGGCGACGAGTCTCCCAGCTGTAGATGAGAAATTTAGCCAGTGCAGCACAACCGCTAGCCTGGGGTCTTTAACGTGCATCACGCAGTTGTGATACACGAGCGCACGCAGGTACGATGCTCATCCAGATCGAAACTGGCAGGGGTGGGGTTGAACCCAGGATCCCTGGGTTCTGCAGCGCGAGCTTTCGCTCCACGTGCTCCGAGCTGGTGTGCGCTAGAGCCACTCGATATGGCAGCGTAGCTGCCAGAGTAGCGCCACGCTTTTCCCTGTGCCGCCTCTCACTGTGATTGGTCACACGCGGTACCATAGCAACGAGCTGAGCTGGCTCCGTTTCCTTAGCAACCGAGGGACTACTCGTCACGTGACCTCGCAAGAGCTGTGATGTCACCGGTAAGATGGCAGCGCCCAGAGCTGGTGGATACGAGTTTGTTCGGTCCGCGGTAGTCGTAATGTGCCGCTGCTGGCCGACGATTTCGGACTTCTTCGTGCTCTCTGACGCATGTATAACGTGAAGATCTGAAAGAATGTGACTTTATACCTTTTCTGTGCAAGATCGCTCTGGATATTAGCACCTGTGCGACAGCATCAGTCATACCGCCGTAGCTGTGCTCGTATTCCTGGATGTGTTCGAGGATCGATAAGACATTTTGCATGCAATTTTCGCATACTCCTAGCCTTGTTTGAACGTTGGAATGTCTGAGAATCAATGGGAATAGTATGCGCCGCATGTTGGACCTTGGGGAAGTTGTTTCAGCCCCAGGTAACCGCGTAATCACCAACTTTTAGCGAGGAAGTTCCTGCGATCTTTACGTTTTGTACTAATCAACGATCTTAGGATATAGCTTTTAGGATAACATTTTCAAATTTTCTAGCTTCCTTTGAATGTTGGAATTTCTGAGAATCGAAACGAAAGGTATACGTCGTGTGTAGGGCCTAGGGGAAGTTGTTTCAGCCCTAGGTCACCGAATAATCACAGCAACTTTAAGCGAGGAAGCGCCTGCGACCTTTAACCTTTTGTACTAATCGACAATTTTACGAATAGGGAGTTTTGAAGACTTTGATAAACGCCCTTTCGTTGCAATAGCTTGCATTTGATCGCAGTGTTTTTTCATTTTTTTTTCAAGTGACAAGCTGGCGTTTGCTCAAATGACGTATATGAAATGACCTGCTCAATAAGAATGCATCAACACACACTAATAAATTTATATCTCAGAGGTGTGTTCGTTTTTGTAATCAACAAGTTACAGAAAATTATTTTTTACGAGTGTAATATTTATTTTCTGTAGCTGGGCCCGTTTTGTACTCATTAATATCCGTGTGCTATGATGCTATCATCATGTGTGTATGTTTCTAAATATCCTCTTCGCAATGCCTACAAAAGCCAAAATGACGTCAGCCGACCCCAGCTCACGCATTTGACACGAAAACTGCGTCACTCGGACGTATGCGCTCGTAAACAATCAATTCGTCGATGAATATTTGAATTCGCGTTCGTGGCCAATGAGTGAACTTGCGAATGCCAAGTTCTATGGTGTGCTTAAAAAGCACGGTGGAAGCTTGGGGTCATCGCACCGGTGCCCTAGCATGTCACGACCGCGTAATTTTACTGTTCTTTTTTGAGTTGAGGATTAAAGCTAAAGAAGAAGAAGTTAAAGAATCATTTCATGGCCCCTTTAACACGGGTTTCCGTGCTACACCAGATAAAAATATTGGCATTTTGCATGCCGGTAAACTTCCGGACGACCGCTTGGCCTGTCGGCAAGAACACCTCACGTCCGGCGTCCGTCTCTTTTGATGGCGTTAACAATCCTCTGTAGACCACCGTGCTGTCCTTCTTGGTTTAACCCCGTCGACTGTTCATCGCCCAAAACGAGGGTGATACCGTCGTCGACGTCGCTCCCCACCAGTCGGTGAGATAATCTCATCTTGAATGAATGATTGGGTCTTGAAGAAGTATGGTGCTAAGCATACATTTTCTTACTATGGGGCAGTCGAGGAGCAGTCATGTCCCAAGGCAATCGTCCTGTTGTGGCCGGCGTAATCAAATTTTGTTCCATAGGAGCGAAGTCCGAAAGTACAAGGACGATACGTTCGTCCCACGAAGCCGCCGGCATCCCGGCGGCGCGGAAAACCATTGGCCTTCTCCGTGCACGCTGCAAATCGTCTCATTTCACAGAAGAAACAGGCACCGCGCCTCCAGAGGCCCGTGCCGTACCGCCATACAAAGCGTCTTTTAGGTCTTTTACCACTTTTCAATTAACGAATGGAGATATCAGCTAGATAAAGGTTGCCGCCTGGCGTCGCTAGCAGTACGGTTACCATAGAAACCTCCCAGGCCCAAAAAGAAGATCACTATAGGCGCTTCTGACGTCGTGTATCTAGATAATTTTCCGTCGTGTCGCTACTCTGGCAGCTACGCTGCCATATAGAGTGGCTCTAGTGTGCGCTAGCCCACTTCTCCACCGATCCCCCCAACAAGGCACCACTGAAGCGCTAACAAGGCGCTACAAAAGCGATAATCGCGCGCTATATTAGAACTAAGTCACGCGCTAGGAAGCGCCACATGAGCGCTCTTTGAAGCGCTCACTTAGCGCTAGCTTAGCGCTGCGCTGTATGTGTGAACAGGCCTTAAGGAGAGAGCAGAGCGCCTACTTTCGCAAGACTGCTAACTGACTGAAAGCCTTATAGCCACGGATAAGGAAGCACTACACAAGATAATTCAGTTTATCTGAGAGCGAAGCCAAAGCTACAAGCACGTGCATGTTGCCCTTAGCGATGCTCGTGCATCAGGAATGGAGAAAAGCCCAGAGTTCGCTCTTGTAACTTGTGCTGCGATTTCAGTAGACACATCATTTTCATTATAGTCGTCGTCTTTTCTCGAGAATGAGAAATTAGGTATTAACGTATCTAGTAGTCCCTTAGCGAATTTCTGATGAATATCGACGAAACTAATTTAAGAAAGCAAGCTGGATCAGGAAGTTTACCGCCGGTGGGGAAGCCTTGTGAACCAGATACTGGAACAATCCACTTTTCCAAAATCA